ACCTTTGAATTTGGACCCACTGGCTGAACAGTCTACTTGCTTGTCTTATAACCAGGAAACTATGGGTTCAAAACCCTGTAGCTGCGTACTTGTTATTCCCCATCAATAGTTCCTCATTGTATTGCAAAGTGCGTATTTACTTCTTTACATGACAGTAGGCTTTAAAATAATCTGATCCACCCTGGCCACTGGCACTATACCGGAGGTTATCTGCAGTTTCAGTGAGAAGTAGTAACTAGTGGGGTTCGTCCGACAAGTCTGGTAAGGGAACAGTCAGTCACTCTTATCTATGTGTCACGAATTGACCGAAGTTGGAATTCATGCACTGGTCATTGGATAGGGTTCTTCCTAGCTTGCCTTGTAACCGGAAGGTTTTCGGTTCGAACCTTGGTGGCGGGTGTATAGTGCTTAATGAAGAGTCCCACACTAGACCAACGAGACAAGCTGACTCTCCAGGTTTTGCAACTGTTTTCTCTAACTGATGTGCAATCGTAATCAAATCTGTGACCACCAATCAAATCCTTATAAAACCAACACTTATAAATAATAATTTCTCAAAGCCATAGGCAAGTATCAATTCAATTATTACAACCAGTCACACTATCCAGCACAATGTTGTCACATTGTATCAATTGTATGCAAAACAAACAGACTTTTGGGCTGAAAATGCAAATTACATGTAACACACATTCATACACGTACACCCATTGACCCAAAGACATCATTCGAACTTTTTTAACAAAATGCAAAAAACCTGTTATGCACAGAGTAGTGTGTAACGTACAAACACATACACACACACACAATCACAGTGCATGATAAGTGGTCATGTCATACATAAAACAAAAAAGGGTATAACACAATATGATATTGATTAAAAACATTTAAAAAAAATAAACGAAAGTATCGATAAAGAACAAACAAATATCAAACAAACTGAGACACAGAATGTGACAGCATCTATGCATAGAAAATCACACTAGATTATTATTATTATATGTTCACAAGAATCCAGCCATCGGATAGATAGATAGCAGTTATGATTGTAAACAAAATAAGGAAAACAATACGGAAAATTCGAGAAGTGAACAGATATACGTGTCAACTAAAAACAAAACTTGCCTAAACAGAATTCAATGACTGAATAGTGATTGGCGTAGTATTATTATTATTATTTATATATGTGCTAAAGTTGGGCATTGTGGTAGTAAGTAATTCCATATTAGTTTGCTTATTAGATGTATCACCACACAGTGAGTGAAACAGTATTATTTACTGGATGACAAAGTTTCGAACAAAATTTACTGTTCATAAACATATCAATTATAATCACACGACTTTGAAACTTGAGTTTTATAGTTTTCTTTGTCCTCTCCTATTCGTTGTCGTAGGGACAGTAGAATTTTCCAGATATCTGGGACAGGTGTTGAATCATTCCTACTACATGTATTTGCAGTTGATTTGATAAACAAAGGTTCTGTTATCAATCTCTCCCTCCATCCTGTGACATTAGGTTTAAAAAATGTCATCTTATCCCATCCTATTGTATGGTGGCATGTAACTGCATGCAGTGAGTGCTATAGCTGAACTATTCTCTAAACTTCTTATCCCATTTGGGTTTTCATGCTCGGCTAATCTGAATGCACCTGTTCTACTACTTTGACCTATGTATTTGACCTGATAATTATTGCAGGCGGGGTATTAGATAAACTAAATTGTTTTGTTTTAATGGCTGCACTGCTGGGATCCTTTAATCGACAAAGCTTGTTCCTAATTCAGTTTGTGGTTGGTTTGAATGCCAGCCAGCCACTTTTATTCCTGCCTTGTTAAGAATTCTGCGTAATGTGGTTTCCGAGGTTCCTTCGTTGTATGGAGTTACTAGTGATGATTTAGATTCCTTATTGTTGGTGTCGTCATTAATATTATTATTATTGTCACTATAGCTACTACCATTATTTATTATTATCCTATTTTTACTGACATAGGATGGGATGATCGGAAGTTCAAATATCTGTTTGAATGTGTGGGTTTCCTGTGAACACGCTAGTGTGTTTAATTTCCCATCTTCTTTCCTTTTCACGTTGCAAAAAAACTCAAGTTTCAAAGTCGTATGATTATAATTAATGAAATGATTATGAACAATAAATTTTGTTCGAAACTGTCATCCATCTAATAAACAAACTAATATGGAATATTATTACAACTGGATTTCATCGTGAACCAACATAGGTTAGAGAACCATTGGAAACCAAAGCATGGAGTGCTGGACAGCTGCTTTGTCCTAGTATGGGACTCTTCATCGACGCTCACGCACACCACTGCCAGGGTTCGAACCCAGGACCTTCTAGTTACAAGACGAGCTCGTAAACCATTAAGCCACTGGGACCCGATCCAATGGCCAACCAGTGTATGAATTCCAACTTCTGCTAATTCACGATATAGCGCAACTGGCACCAACCGCGATGAGTCTTTGTCATCACACCCAACCTGATGCACCCTACTGGTCACGATTCCCAACTAGAACCTCAGGTAACTACCTACATGAATAGGGTCAGTCACTATTGAGCATCGCAATCACATCCCTACAAATCAATACTTGCATATGATTGTTGTCGGTGGTTCAATAGCAGGAGAATAGTCAAACTCCTGGTTCGACTCTCAATCGATGTACTACCACTAAACTCTCCTTAACCGGGTGAAGACCGAAACCTGGGACGCTAGGCTTGCAACTTTACTCCCCCCCCCCTCCCGGTAAAGAAAAACACTATATTGTTACTGAAACTTCAAAGACAAAGCTGGAAGCTGTATGTTCCACTCAGAACGCAAAACAAAATGAAGAAATGAATATAGTTGCATAGTAAACTGTAGGTAGAGAACGGATAAAGTACTTCATCTGCGAGGAAAACAGTCATATTTAATAAGTTCAAACAGCATTCGTGATTTATCGTCGAAAAGGGAAGAAAGAAGGAAATCGCAGCACGTTGGCCATTGATTGCGATTCTTAGCCATATCCGAAAATGTTTCGAGCTATCTCTCGGATTCTAACAAGGGAGTGGTGACGCACCAACCAATGCTAACCTAGCACAAATATCCTTCATCCCTCGACGCCACTTCATGGGTTGACCACCTCTCTCCGCGAACTGAGACCTGTACGCAAGCCTCTGGAATGACATTCGCAGCACAAATCCAAGCCACCGAAGCCGGTGTTTCCAGCTGACAACACTCAATGAATGGTGATCTCCACTGTGTCGAAACACACACCGTAAGACCTCAGAATTACTCACGCAATGATGCCACCGAACGCCAGCAATCCTGAGGAGATAGCGATAGTCGAATATGCAAAGTTGCTGCACATCTTCAGCTCGGAGAGGCCAGTTTTCACAGGCGTAGAGCAAGACAGCCCGCACCAAAGCATTTTAAACCCGACCTTTGACAGCCAGGCTAACGTCGCGACGGCACCAGAGGTAGCTCCAGTTCCAGAGAACAGTTCTATCCAGCGAATCGAAGGCAGCCCTAAAATCAAGAAACACAACGACTGTTGGTCTGCAATACGTGTGGCGATATTCCAACAACTGACGAAGGGTGGAACACATGATCAATGCATCCACGGCTTGAAATAAACCCAGCCTCTTCTGCGCGAATCAATCCCTCACGTGTTTTGCACAGCCTGTGAAGTAAAACACCAGCCAGTTTTTCAGACGCAACTGGTAGCAGACTGGTACCCCTATGGTAACACATGTGTGTTACGTCGACTCTTTTTTTAAAATGGGGACAATACTGGCTTGATTCCACACTGATGGTACATGCTCAGTCTCCCTCCGATTATATAAGAATGTGCAAGAAACTCTTGAAAACCTTATTAGTCATATACTTTGATCTATTTTGTTACTCATTAACGATAACCTGTGACCACTGTTCTCAGTAGTTTAGCCCCTTAAATTACTGTACAGCGTTGAATTGGAGTCACGAAAAATCTGTTTGCTGACCTATGTGTTCTTCAAAAAGTTGTTATTTGTCATAAACGTTTATTCGATTTGCTTTACAATAATAAACTCAGTGTGAATCATTTGATGTTAACAGAAAATAATAATAATTATTATTATTGTTCCCTTGGGTTCCTAGTGGAACATAGGGCTTCAACTACACGTCTCCACTTCCTTCTGTACTTTTCACCTGCATCCATGTCAGTCCATACTGTTTCAACTCTTCTTCACACGATCTTCTCCATGTCACCCTTGGACGTCCCACTCACCGCTTCACTTTCGGGTTCCACTCGAGCTATGGCCTGACTCGCGATGTCACCCAGCAGCCTCCTCAGCGAGTGTCCAATCCATCTCCACTTTCTCCCGCATATTTGTTGGGCGATTGATTGTTGTTTTGTTTGTTCCCATAGTTTCTTGTTGGTGATTCTTTCCGGCGGCCATCTGATCTTCAGTATGGAGCGAAGACAGTTGTTGATAAAGATCTGCAACAGGCTGTTGGAAATATTCTTTGTGACACACTGGCCAATTTTCTGATCCGCACGTATAGAAGAACTGACTTGACGTTTGTATTGAAAATCCGAATTTTGTTGTTGATGCTGAGTGACGAAAAACTACTTAACATGAGTAAGATAAGGTTGCCTGCCTACTATCAGCGATGATATTCCTAATTGCGGTGGGGACTGGATTATTCCAGAGACAGAGCGTAGGGAGTGCGAGATGACAGGATAACTCTACAAGATCTCGATTTCACTGTTGACTTATATCTTATGTCACATAAACTCGGACAACTATGGACGAAAACTAACAAAACTGGTGGAAGATGCAGTCAATAGACACAGGACTTCAAAGGCTAACATCACCAATCAAGGAAGGTAGGCAGTAGCACGACATGTAGAGCACATTTCAACGTTGAAGTCACAGGAAGGGCAAAAGCAATCATATAACTAACTAACCAACTGACTAACTGACTAACAACAACAACAATAATAACAACGAAATCAACGCAATTCGACTTACCGGTAGTGGACCCAAATCTTTCATTAAATGCCGTTGAGCTTCATGTGTCAATAGGGAACCATTAATCAGTTGATTATTTGATCGAGTAATTCTAGGATCATCCTTGTATATAGCAAACAGAAAAAAAGAACGGTAATAAGAGAATGAAAGTCGTAGTATAATACAGTGAAACAGCATCTTAGACTACTACAGAAACTTCAAAAAAGTTGCTTATTTCTATCCCACAAAAAATAATCTCCAGTTAACTCCTTTGTACAATGCCTTGATCAACCGAATATGCTACCCATTTGATTACTGGAGAAACAGCTAGACTGTACAGGTGTGAGAAAGTTCCAAAACTATTTCCAACCAGAAGTCAACATATAACGAAGTTACGCAATAAGAAAAGGAGATTAAGCCACAAGAAGAAAAGCAAACAAGTTCATATGATAATGATTTTTATAAGAACGTAGACTGTTTATAATGGGTGTGGTGAAGCCAAAGACTGAACGAAGCTTCGGGAAGCTAATGCTAATCCCAGATGTCTTGATCTTACTTCAATTGAAAGGTTTGATCGAATCTCAAATGGAGTGGAATGTCCTGAGCTCAGGAGATGTTCTATTACTTAACTACAGACACATTTTTCTGTCTTTTCGTTGCTAGCCAGACTAGATAGTGTTCCCAAGTGAATTTTACAAGTGGACGCATGACATGACTAATGCGCTCAGATGCACAGAAATATATGAACTGGTGGATGCACTGTTGATGTGACCCAACACAGCAGCTTGTCTCGAACTGCTGGCGGGACACTTTCTTGGGAGAAGTGGAGGCGATAAATGCTTTACTGAGTGATTTTGAAAGCTGTTATTGGAAAATTTCTGTCAAAGCTGTATCTTTGCAGTTGCATTTATTATTCCAACTACCTGATTACTTTATCTTAAAACCAAATTTTATTACGTAACTCTGTCTTGTTATTGGTGGAATTTTGACCTATGACCAGAAAGAGGTCCTGGAACTTTATCACGAAAGTAAACTATCGAAAAGAAAGATAATTCCTTGCTGCGATACCTTGATCACTTTATTGTTTCCTTAAAACCTGTATTGCGTTTGTGAGCAGTTTTAAACGTTTGCAACGGAGCTTACTAACGAAAAGGAAGCCAAAAACACCATGATAGATAGCAGATAATTTTACAATTAAACAAATATTATGTCGGAAAACATAATGTCCACTATTATAATTCTAGTGTGATCACAAATTCATATAAGCCACAGGACCATTGAAAACCAGGGAGTGCCGGACAATTGCCTGTTTCGTTCTAGTTTGAGATTCCTCAACAAAATGTACTCAGAACGTGCAAGTTAGAAGGCGAGCTTGTTAACCATCCCCAGTCACTGGAACACAACCCAATGGCTCATGACTTCTAGTTCCTGTCAATGTACGATACATAGCACCAATGGCAGCCGCCAATGTCATCGATGGCGAGTATTTGCCCCTACACCCAACCCAATGATGGTCCCCACTATTCAAAAACTTCAATAATAATAATACCAATAATGATTGGCTTTATTCCAAAACAGTATTTATGATACAGTGTGGAATTTTCAGCATTTGCTACAGTATTATTGCATCTAATTTACTCAACTACACAGCAAAAAGAAAAATAGAAAAACAATAATATCACAGGATTGATATTAGTAGGTGTTTTCGTAATCACAGTGACAATACTCGCTTGTGGAGTGAGTTATATCGGCCGTTGCTCTAGGAACTTGATTTTTTTGTGCTCTCTCAGGAACACCTCCCAGCATGCCTAAGTAAAGGTGTAATAAAATCTCTATCAACAGTTCGATATTGGACCATCTGGTGCAAACCTGCCAGCCACAAAGCCAGCCAGCATTGATGAATCCTTCTCTATCATCTACCGGGTATCGAATAAATCGCCAAAAACATCCAGGCACTGCATGCTCCAAACAGCGGAGGCTATCGCGATTCGCGTGAGACAACCTGTGCTTTGTGAGCAAAACAAGCAAGTCCAGCTACTACTACTACTACCCTGGTCGGCTTTCAGTGGACACTATAAATTCATGAATTCAATATTATTATCTATCCTAATTTTTTTGACATTCAGTTTATTGTTATGTTGATGCTATTGAACTGTAATCTATCAGTATTATTGATTCGATTTTATTTAAACAACACTAATGTTGTTCATAACACTAATTCATTCATTCATTCACTATAATGTATTTATATATAAATGTAGAACCTGACAATGAGGAAGTTATCCAAAAAAGTATTCTTTGTTCAGTAAGCATTCTTTTGAAAATAATGACGTTAATAGCTGAAATTATAAGTTAATTGAAGTGAAGTGAAACAATCTCAGAGAAAAATGACACCATAATTAGGTCCCAGGATAGAAGACTGGAATGCTGGAAAGAACACTTTGAGGAGCAATTCAGTTGACCTACAGCCACGCTCAACCTGCCAAACATCCAACACCTCCCTAAATGGGATATAAACACAGGTCCTCCGTCCCTAACTGAGGTTACTAAAGCTGTCACTAGTCTGAAACGAGGCAAAGCGCCAGGACCTGATGGAATGACTACAGAGGTATTTAAGTACGGTGGAGACAGTTTCTGTCTGCATTAGCTGAGATACTAGGCAGCGTCTGGGAATCAGAGGAAGTCCCATCGGGTTGGTGTAAGTCACTGATCATCCTGATAAACAAGAAGGGAGATAAGTCTTCTTGTGATAATCACAGAGGGATTACCTTGACTAATATAGTATCTAAAGTCCTAGGCTCAATAATATTGCGTAGACTAAATGGTGCTCGGGAGGCACAAACACGAGAGAACCAAGCAGCCTTTAGACCAGGAAGAGGGTGTATTGATCTTCACCCTCCGACAGATTCCAGAACATAGGCATTCCTACCGGCGTCCAACAATCATTATACTTCTTGACCTAAAGGCGGCATTCGATTCTGTCGACCGAGAGGTTCTCTGGCAATGCTTGGCAGTTAAGGAAATGTCGAGAAAATACATTGCACTGATTAAGGCACTCTACTCGTACTCATGCAGCCAGGTGAGGGCTTATGGCGAGTTGTCATCTGAAGTGGTGACGACTAGTGGTGTCCATCAAGGATGCCCATTATCCCCATCTCTATTCAACTTCATCATAGACGTACTAATCGACTTAACCCTAACTCAATTCAGAGATTCAGGGATTGACTTGCTACCAGGGAATAATCTCGTTAACTTAGAATATGGAGATGATATAGTCCACTCTCCTAGGCGAGGACGCTGGCAAAATGCAGAGTCTTCTGAACACCTTGAGCTGCATTCTACGAATGTTTGGCATGCGATTCGCTCCCACCAAATGTGAGATGATGCTACAAGACTGGACTAAACTGACTCCTGGTTTAGAAATAGGGAGTGAAGTGGTAGAGCACATTGACCACTTCACTTATTTGGGAAGTACCGTCAGTCCCAACGGGTTGATCTCTGACGAAATCTCAGTAAGGATACAGTTTACTCCGTTTCTGAAGGTGGACGTGATATCCGACTATCGACCACAGGGCGGGTGTACTGCTCAACAATCCGCTCTGTCCTCCTTTATGGCTGTGAGACCTGGCCATTGAGAGTGGAAGGCATGAAAAGATTAGCTGTCTTCGATCATAGGTGCCTGCGTTCTATCTCCCGTGTGAGGTGGTATAATAAGGTGAGCAATATTGAGTTTAGGCATCGAAAATCCATAACAGCCACGTAAGAAGGTGTAGACTTCCTGACTGGTTGGTGTCCTCGGAACGGTAAAAACCAATGAAGGTTGGAAAAAATTGGTGACATGGCTCAAAATCGTTCTTAATGGCTGGTGCAGATGCATCCACTCCTTGTGACTTATAATTTCCAATGAAGCTATATTGTTCTTCGTTATTACTATTCCTTTGTCTCACACCTCTGTTTACTGTCTATATTATGCATTTCTCCTACTTTCTTCTCTTGCTTTGTGTGCTACATGGAATGTGGCAACTTGAACTGTTGCATATCGGTACAAAGTTCTACGTCGAAACCAGACAGACAGTTGAAGTAGTGTCACTATAGATGGCGAACGAATAGGAGAGAATATAAATGAGCCGCGGACGAAACATGGTATCGATTGAGTTTTTGCACTTGATTGTATTAGCGTTTGATCTTTTATAATGACTTCTAGTTTTACCTAATAAGATGAAAGAAGGAAGGGGAGGGTTGAGAGTCGGACAACATACGGATTTGGACCATTTCTCACATGATTACAGGTGTCTGTCGACTAAGTGGGACACCACTTGGCCTACACTAACAACCATTAATACTCTTCTCAATACGATATAATCCTTTATGAGCAGGCCAGGAAAGACTAAGGGGGAGAGCAATAAAGAATACTAGGGTTAACAAATTGTAAAAGTGGAGGTTGACGGATTCCAGATTGCTTTAACAGGTTAGACGGGACATTTTCGTATAAATCGACAACAGGATATAATTGGATAATGAAGAATAGTCAGAGGACAGAACTTTATTTAAACGCAGAAAAACTTGATACAATATGGCACCAAGAAAGATACGCCACACAATATTGTGTGAGGGCTGAGATACTGCCCGGGTGCCCAGACCGAAGCAGGTGGTTTTCTTAAGGGACCACCCCCCGAGCCTTTGACTTGGAGTCTAATCCGCAAGGCAGCGGAGCAGCGTCAGGAGCTGCGTTCCCATGGTTGCCGGTGACCCATATGGGTTCATACGCCATTTGATCCGATTGAATTCTGGAGCCCATGTACCCCATGGTAACTGCTTTTAGTCTAACCGCTATCCAAACAATCTTCCTGACATGGTAGGACCTGCAGAGACATGAGTCCCAGCCAGTTTATCTTGTTGGAGCACTGCGGCATTCAGGCCCGACCACCACGGCAAGGTAGCAGTTATCGGTCAGGAGAGGACAGAACTATCCCCAGGATATTTAATACGCGTGACTAGGTTGCTATTTCAGTGTCCTCTAAGTAGCTAAAAACATCATATCAAGTTGATATGATTATGATATGATATGAGCAATAGTTTGTGCTCGAAACGTCATCAGTTAATATAACTGTACTACACTGTGTGATTTATCAAAATAAAATCTTATCCATTATGGAATTATACTCTACCACAGTGCCCCAGTTTTATACTTATATCAATAACCTCGTATACCATTCAGCCACTGGGACCCGTTTCAATGGCCAGTGTATGAATTCTAACTTTTACCAATTCGTGATTTAGCACTTGCCTCGTAACCGGAAGGTCCTGGGTTCGAAACCTGGTGCTGTATGCGTATTGCCGATGATTCCCAAACTAGGATGAAACAGCTGTCCAGTACTCCCAGGCTGGTTTTCAATGATTCCCGCTCTAACTGATATCAATCCGTGATCCACTCATAAAAACAAAACTAACCCTTACAAACCAAACTATAGAAAAATTAATCTGATGCTCGCTAGTGACTTGATACAGGATGGAGTTTCCTGGAGTTAGTTTTATTGAGAAGTCGTGACCAGTGAGGTTCAATTAGATGTCACGTGTGAGGATGGATGTCCCACTTACGACATTGGTTGGGGTAGCGCTAAGTCACGAATTGGTAGAAGTTAGAATTATGAAAAAGAGAAGACATTGAGCGAAGAGACTCTTTTCGACGGCGAATTCATTCACATAGCTGTACAATCGCATTTATATATAATTATTTGTGTGTGTACATGAGGTTTATCAAGTTTAGATAATTGATCAGGTAATACAAGAATGATCTAATATAGAAACAAGGCTAATTAGACAGCAACTAAAGCAGGATTGATGTTGTAAGTTAGATGACGTAATATAATTGACTAAAATGTTTCAACTTAAGTCAGGGTAGCAACAATATGCTATATATACGAACTTATTCACTCCAAAGGAATAAACATCGGTATACTCACCGAGCGTCTTAAAGAACTCCTACTGAAGTGTACCCTGAATGTTCAATTCTCTTTTAACAACGAAATATATCGCCAAAAGGATGGTATAGCTATGGGCTCCCTGGTTTTCAATGGTTCTCTAACCTTTTATTCGCCATCGTAATTATGTGCAATCAAACAAGAATTAAGAGATTCAAAATGTGTACAAGAATCGATATCTGAAGTAATTTACGATAATATATATGAAAACCAATTTATCTATACACAGAAGGAAAACATCAATAAGGCATAGAAAAAAACAACAAGAGAAACACATTCATAACAAGAGACTTACCCAAGTGGTAGTATGTTCATTATGATTGATGAAAAATTTACGACCACTAGCTGTTCTTGCCAACTCCCAACCTTGTGGCAACGGTTCCTCGCCTGGTGCAATATTCAGTCCTAAAACAATTTCCCCAATTCGTCTATTTCCACCATCTGTACTATCTCCTTCTTGTTGATTCGACTCACCACCACCACCAGCTGTTGATGTGGTAGTCTGCCCAGCTGAACTAGACGATGAGTCTATTGTTGTCGTCTGTTGATTATCACTTTCAGCAGAATTTGAAGATATTGGCGGAATCGGTTCAGAATTTGGGGCTAATGTAAAACGACAAAAAAAGGGAATAAATGGGGAATACCCACAGAGTGAAATATACATTTTAATTCAGTGTTAAAACACAAGGGTTTTGTCTGTAAATGATATGAAGAAACAGAAATAAGTTTCATGTTCACACACAGAAAAATGTACACATTTGTCACTAAAATGTTACATGATGCGTCCTGGAGTCGGATCACTTCCTTCGCTTATTCATCCTTATATTCAAGTATTGGTTTGTTGGGATTTGATTGATTAGTTACAGGATTTCATCATGAGCTGACATCAATTAAAGAATCATTGAAAAACCTTCAGGAAGTATTGGACAGCTGTTTCGTCCTAGTTCTATGGGATTCTTCAGCGCTATGCACCCACCAAGACATTCTGGTTACAATGCGAGTTGGTGGATCATTAAGCCACTGGGACCCAATCCAATGACCAGCCCATGAATTCCAAGTTTTGCCAATTCACAATATAGCACGACCAATAGCCAATGTCTTCAGCCGGGGGTTTGTCTTCACACCCGACCTGCTGTCCACCCCCCCACACTGGTCACGATTTCCGTATAGCAGCTCATGATGAAATCCTGTAATCACCCTTATATATTAACAGTCTCATAACCACTCACATACACCAAATGTGATGCATAGTTTACTGTCAATCCATCGAATCCATTCGACTACTTTTGGTGACATCTAATTGCGAAAACTTTGGGATAGAGACAGTAGAATTTCAAGCCTACAACAGACTTCTCTCATGCATCACGACTAAGAGAAAACGCAATTTAACTGAAGTGTGTAATGTGTATTTGCGAAAAACATTTCAGACATTCTCGTCACACACACACACTCACCTACTTGTCAATTACACATTTATATAGAAGGCAAAACAGCATCATGAATTATTACAATGCTACAGGGTAAATCATGTACAAGTCACAGTCACGAATGAGACGTAGGAGGATAACGTAAGAATGTGGGGTGAAGAAGAAAACAAACAAAGAAGGAGGAAGAGGGTGAAAATATTATTGAGTAGATTGAACCTTGATTCCAAATTGGATTGCCAAGGCATGTTCAAAGTAATGACAAGTAATCTTGTTAACACATAAGATGGATTTAGGCCTTTCTATGGCCAATGCTTTAGTGAATGAATTTAAGTATGTGACCCAGACATTTTATTTTGGTTTACGTGGGTTTAAAGACATTGGATAGGACAGTATCTAAATTCGCGGAGAATTCCCATTGTAACATATAGAAAATAGAAAACAAGTGATTCAGTGAAGAGACTCTTTTCAACAACGAATTTATTATCAAGCTGTACAATCGTCGCATATATATGGTTTTTTATTAAGAAGTTATATCGGGTGAGAAAATTGAATCATAGGTATGAATGTATGAAATAATAATAATAGTATGAAATGCAATTAAAATTAGAATGTTGGTGATTATAATTATAGTTATATATATATATATATATATATATATATATATATATATATATATATACAACACCTGGTCAATAATGATCACCTTATCTCTACAGCCTCCGCCATTAAAGTCATCTAAAAGGTGAAAAGTAATTTGCCCAAATCACTAATTACCCAACTCATCTGTATCGGTTAAGCCTTGGCTATCGCGAAACAGAAAAGCCAGATCTCGGTATACAGAAAAAGTTTGTTCAACCCCTCCAACTTTCATGGTCTTATTCCTTCTATTCTAAAGTATGATAACTCGTAATCATATTTTGGCTCTACCAATTTTTCAATTTTGTCTGTTCAATTTGTATTCTCTTCCTTTATTACGCCAATTGTTACTATTACCATTCTCACTTTGAACGGTCACAGGTATTATTTCACTCGTTCCACTTGTCATTCTAAATCAATTCTGTTAAGCAACTTTAAATTCTATGTTATCAAGTTTCACACAATATTACGTAATGTTCTTGTTTTATTCGATTTGTCTACTAATTCTATAATTGCACACCCCTTCCAAGTACTATACATCCTATGAATTATTTTATATACGACATTAATTGTTTTACCACTTGACATTTTACTATGGATAGAATCACAAACATTTTATAGGTTTCCAGGCCGTAGGTGTTACGAACTTTCTGGAATAATTTGAGCGCCGAGTCAGATTGATTCATTATAAATTATTTAAATTAATCCCAGCGTGTTAAAAATCCGAATAAATCTGCTGAAGAAGCTGTGGCGGCTTACACAGCGAAACGTTCAGAAAAATCTTGTTTTGATTTTCTTAACACGCTGGGATTAATTTAAATAATTTATAATGGCACAAACATTTTAGTTTTAATTGCACTTCTTACTACCATTATTATTTTTTTATGCGTTCACACCTATTATTCAATTCGCTCACCGGATATAACGTCTTGATAAAAAACCATATGTATATATATATATATGATTGTACGGCTTGATAACAAATTCGTTGTTGAAAAGAGTCTCTTCACTGAATCACTTGTTTTCTATTTTCTATATGTTACAATGGGAATTCTCCGCGAATTTAGATACTGTCCTATCCAATGTCTTTAAACCCACGTAAACCCAAATAAAAAGTTTGGGTCACATACTTAAATTCATTCACTAAAGCATTGGCCATAGAAAGGCCTAAATCCATCTTATGTGTTAACAAGATTATTTGTTATCACTTTGAACATGCCTTGGCAATCCAATTTGGAATCAAGGTTCAATCTACTCAATAATATTTTCACCCTCTTCCTCCTTCTTTGTTTGCTTTCTTTTTCACCCCACATTCTTACGTTATCCTCCTACGTCTCATTCGTGACTGTGACTTGTACATGATTTACCCTGTAGCATTGTAATAATTCATGATGCTGTTTTGCCTTCTATATAAATGTGTAATTGACAAGTAGGTGAGTGTGTGTGTGTGACGAGAATGTCTGAAATGTTTTTCGCAAATACACATTACACATTTCAGATAAACTACATCTTCTTACTGTTTTGTCAAAATTCATACAAAAAGGAAGTAATTCATTATAAATTATTTAAATTAATCCCAGCGTGTTAAGGAAATCAAAACAAGATTTTTGTGAACGTTTCGCTGTGTAAGCCACAGCTTCTTCAGCAGATTTATCTACTTTTATTTTTTACTTTTGATCTATTTTGTTTTATTATTATTATTGTGTGGCGCATATTTCGGCGTTTAAATAAATAAACCAGGCTTAGAGAGAGGTTTAGGAGTGCGTTGGCAGCCAGTAGGAGATCGAACCCCGAAACACGTGTGTCGTGGTTAGCAAGCGTTCTACCGCTAAACAACCACCACCACCACCCAACGTACGTAAAAAGACAGACGAAGGAAGGCAGAAGTATGTTCAAGCCTACTAAGTCGGTGAGTAACCCAGAACTGAACATTTTAACCTCCTCATGCCTTTGATTTAGTAGGAGAAACACGCTGAGAAGCAGAAATGACCATATTTCTTTTCTATAAACAAAATTAGAAATTTGATCAGAAACAGTGTGATAATAGGAAGCATTTCGTGTTTCAATCAATCAAAAGACTTAGGAATGACCTTTAATTACAAAATAAAAAGAACCAACAAAAAGCGAACAAAAGCAAAAGACTTGAAAAGAAATAGAGAGAGATCAAAGTAGACTATGAATATATTTTTGTGTTCGAAAAAAAACAACAACATCTAATCCGCTAACAGAATCAATTTGGAGAGAAACTATAACTCAAATATCAGCCGTTAATCAAAGAGACGCATTTCGCAGCTCTATTTGTTTGAGTGTGAATATTAAACTGGTTAAACAAACTACAAAGGATGGAGAAGTATTCACAACTCAAGATGCGAACTTATACACACATGGATTAGGTTTTTGTTATCTGATATGAAGTTTTACTTGGTAACTGTTTTAAAGTCATAATAAACGATTGTTGTAAGATAAAACTTCAACCTTACTAGAGTTAGTGTATTTTAAATATCCCACACAGTAGTAAGTAAGGGAGTATTATTAATAACTGGATGACAAGGTTTCGAGCATAAATTATTGCAACTCATAATCATATCGATTTAATCACACGTCTTCATTTCGATTGAACATTTGCGCTGTGTTCAATCGATAAACAAAGATTCCATGGAGGATTTCATCATGAGCTAAAATCAGTTCGAGAACCACTGGAAAACCTGTCAGGGAGTACTGGACAGCTGCCTCGTCCTAGTTTGGGACTCCTCAACAGTACGTACCCACCGGGGTTCGAACCCTGGACCATCTGGTTAAAAGGCGAGTCCCAAACTAGGAGGAAACAGCTGTCCAGTACTCCCAGGTTCTTCAGTGGTTCTCTACCTGATGTCAGCTCATGATGAAATCCTCCATGGAATCAAACGAAATCCCTACAAAACCAATACTTGAAAACAATGATTCAGCGATTATAAATATAAGTATAAAACTTGGGCACTGTGGTAGAGCATAACTCCATTATGGATAAGATTTTATTTTGATAAGTCACACAGTGTTGTACAGTAATATTAACTGATGACGTTTCGAGCATAAACTATTGCTCATAATCATATCAAGTTGATATGATTATGAGCAATAGTTTATGCTCGAAACGTCATCAGTTAATATTACTGTACAACACTGTGTGACTTATCAAAATAAAATCTTATCCACAATGGGATTCATGTAACACACAAATCAAAAGAGGAGATTCAAAACAAAGAGAGATAATAAACAGAAGTTTGAGTGAGGGAAAAAGAATAGTAATATGGAAGAAGAACAATAGACTTTTATTGAATATGACAAATCGCAAAGAGTGAACGCATCTATTCTAGCCATTGAGAAAGAGGATTTTGAGCCACTCGTTGGTTTTTACCATCCCGAGGACTCCAACCAACCAAGCTGACAGTATACACCTCCCTACGTGACAGGCTTAAACTAACTGTTGTTGTGAATTTCATTGACTGATGAAGCCATGTTTTGGTTTCATCACCACTAGCTGTTTTACAACCTGATCCATCCTTTCAGCTAACGTTAACCGTCGATGAAGGGCGTTGGTTAGACATGCGTAACACATATATCACGTGACATAAATCAACACCATGGTCTGCATTCTTTATATTCAAACTTTATTTCACCTTAGTACTATTTTGTCAAGATCCTCGATTATTGGAACTACAACTTTTAACTCTTCAGAATTGATGAAATACTTAATTTATCAAACGGAAACTTAATTACCCAGGATAAGCTTTTTATGCATCAGGCGGTGAGTTGTATTATGAGGGCTGATGACACTTCTACACATAGTTGCCCAAACTGAAGTAGGTGGAGAAGAAGGAGGCGGGGATTCGAACCTGAGATAGATCAGGTGACTGGCTGTCGAGTGTCTAAGTCAATAAATACACCAGTCTACTGCGTCACTAACAAACACACAATTTCTTTCAAAAGTCAAGCATTGTAGGAAGTTCACAGAAAATCGGTACAGAATTCAATGATGTAATACTGCTTGTCAGTGTACTAGCACCATTTATTTGTGTAAACCTCTGGATAATCAAATTGATTTCAAAGGGTAGTTCACGGTTAATCACTTTCACAAAAGCTATAAGTGATGCATTCACGCGTTAATAAAACTTCAAATAAAGTGCATCTACTCCAAATATTTGTTGACCTATTTACGACATGAATACAAGTCTTTTTTTCCTTCACGTTCCAAGTGGAACATAGGGCTTCAAGCGAGAAGGCTTGAAGTTTCTGTAGCAGTGTTTATTTTCACAGGATGGGTTTGCTGGCCTCATGCCTAAGCTTCTCTCTTTACTGACTTTATTACTGCCTTAGCGAGGTAGAGGAGTGCGTCGGCCGGGGATCGAACCCCGAACCATGTGCATGGTCGGTGAGCGTGCTAACCGCTATGCAACCGACGCACAAGTCTACAGTGTTAGTCTATAGATGCGACATTTTCCAAAACACGTCTCTTGTAATAAGGAAATATAACACAGCAGTGGACTACTGAGAATGGATTGAAACGGCAGTATGCTGTTTAAGACCTATGTCCCACTAGATTTCTGCAGTTTATCTCTAAATAAACTAGTACTAACACGGTTGAGGGGGGGCATGTGTATTCTCTCTGTAATTTCCCGGATCCACGGAAACTTTGAGGTTTCCCAAGTTACTACTACACCAACAACAGGGAATCTAAATCATCAGTAGTAATTCCATACAAGGAAGGAACCTCGGAAACCACATTACGCAGAGTTCTTAACAAGGCAGGAATAAAAGTGGCTGGCTGGCATTCAAACCAACCACAAACTCAATTAGGAACAAGCTTTGTCTGTTAAAGGATCAATCCTGTGGAGCCAATTAAATAAAACAATTTAGTTTATCTAATACCCCGCCGGAATGTTTGTCAGGTCAAATACATAGGTGCAGTCAGACTACTCCCTATCTGATTTTCCAAAAGCTCTTCTCCTAATTCTGGTGTCAACTACTCGTGATGAAACCTACAACCAACAATCAAATACCTGCAAACCAACACTTTATAAAAAGCTATATCCCCAATTAAATTAGCTTAGAAAGCAGAAAAAACAGTAATGTTAAAAACAGTAGTGGCAGTATAGAAATCTTTTCTGCCTTACTCTTTTTTTTCCATTCTCTTTCACAATAACAATCGTTTTTATATTAGTTATGAGTTTTATCAATATTTACAATACAAAAGATGATAATGGTGATGATGACGATAAGAATACGAGATAAGAACAGCGATAAACGAAAAAGTACGATACTTACCATTGGCGGAAGACTGAAGTTTGCAACATTCACATCCATCATGTGTGAGAACGAACACATTTTTTAGTTGGAGAGAAAAAAAGGAGGAAAATATAAAATTCAATGATAGATAATAATAATAATAATGCGAAAAACAAAAACAAAGTTAAAAGTAGCTAAATTCGATATTACATTATTCACAGGTTATTTATTGATGATTGAACATAGAGGTCATTTTCTTTCTTTCTGACTCTAATAACTCACTCACTGTTTCTGCATGATATGAAACATAATCTACCAACTGATAAAGTCGCAGCTAGCAGTGTGACCTATTGAAGTGTATATTCAACTGTTGGTTTGTAGGGATTTGACTAGTTACATGATTTCATTATAAGCTGACATCAGTTAGAGAACCACTGGAAAACCTGCCATGGAGTACTGGACAGCTGTTTCGTCCTAGTTTCGGACTCGCCTTGTAACCAGAAGGTCCTGGGTTCGAACCCTAGCGGTGGGCGTGTACTGATGAAGAGTCCCAAACTAGGACGGAGGAAACAGCTGTCCAGTACTCCCTGACAGGTTTTCCAGTGGTTCTCTAACCAATGTCAGCTCATGATGAAACGAAGTGTATATTTTCTTCTATGTAGGGGGATTTATCAACTGGACAGATGTATCTCTCTCACTAATTGAAGTTCTTCTAATGACTGAACACCAACGAATTCGTCAATTAAACCATGAATCCAAAATAACTGACCGCTTTCAGCGTAGAAGTTTGCACAAAAATGTGCAGCAGTACAACTTGCCACTAGTCCTCCCCATGTAGTACAGAAAGCATGAGAAGACGGTAAGGAGAGATTCAAAAGAGAGATAATAAACAGAAGGGTGGGAAAAGAATAGTAATAATGTGGAAGAAGAATAGAGTTTTAATAGATATGAAAAAAATCGCAAAGATTGAATGCATCTACGAGGGTTTTGAGGCGGCCATATCACGAATTGTCTCCAGTCGTCATTGGTTCTTAGAATCCTAAGGAGCCCACCCAACCAACTGGGAAGTATACACCTTTTCCTTACGTGACTGGTTTAAACTAACTGTTGCTATGACTTTCATTGACTGAGAAAGCCATGTTTTGGTTTGACCACCACAATCTCTTTTCTAACCTGATCCATCCTATGTCAGGTAACATCGCCCGTCGAGGAAGGTGATGACTCCAGGCACACTCAACACATGTCTTAACCATCTCAATCTGTGTGTAACTTCGCAACCTCATCGATTGATTTCCTCTACCTACCTAGCACTCGATTGATGCCTCGTCTCAATATTGTTCACCTTATTATACCGCTTAACATGGGAGATAGAACGCTAACACCTGTGATCAAAGACAGCTAGCCAGCCTTTTCGTATGTGCATAACGGGCAATTAAGCAGAAATGTGAAGGAAAACATGATAATTCAGTGGATATGGAGGAGACGACAAAAATTGAATGCGTCTGTACCAATGAGAGTGATTTTGAACCATATCAGGAATAGTCTGCAGTCATTGGGTTATTAACATCCCAAGGACACCAAACAGTCTATACCTTCCCACTGCATGGCTCAAACCAACCCACCAAAGACCTGATGGTTTGATCACGCCTAACCCTTTTCCAACCTAATCCAATGTTGGCTAACATTGATTCCTTCAGGAGAAAGGCAATGACTTGGGATGCACAACGCGTTGTCTAGCTATCTTAATCGACTCACTCTCACAACCTCATGGATCGACTTACCCTTCTTACGTAACAACACTCTACACTCAACATCGCTCATCATATATTATAATCACAACACAGGAGACAGAACGAAAACACCTATGGTTAAAAAAAGTTAGTCTTTTCATATCTTCCACTTTCAATGAACATGTCTCATGGCCAGAAAAGGATAGAGTCAAATGCTGAGCAGTACACATGTTCTTTGGTCGATATAGTCCATCTTAAATGTGTTTCAAGTATCTTTCCTTTCGTTATTCAACATAGCTGACTTCAGAAAGCCATGGTTTAGGTCCCTTCAGTCATACATGGGTGGTTGGCTTGCTTAAAACTTGTATTATCATTATCACTATTGTCCCCTTGGGTTCCTAGTGGAGCATAGGGCTTCAAATAAACATCTCCACTTGCTTCACTCTTCTGCTGTATTTTTCTCCTGCATTCATGTTAGTCCATACTGTTTCAATTCCTCTTCACACGATCTCCTCCATGTCACCCTTGGACGTCCCACTCGCCGCTTCTCTTTCGGGTTCCACTCGAGCTATGGCCTGACACGCGATGTCACCCAGAGGCCTCCTCAGCGAAAGTCTAATCCACCTCCACTTTCTCCTGCATATTTGTTGGGCGATTGGTTCTTGTTTTGTTTGTTCCCATAGTTTCTTGTTGGCGATTCTTTCCGGCCGACAGTTGTTGATAAAGGTCTGCAACAGGCTGTTGGAAATATTCTTTGTGACCCGCCAAATTTCTGATCCGTATAGAAGAACTGACTGACTTGATGTTTGTATTGAAAATCCGAATTTTGTTGTTGATGTTGAGTGACGAAGATTTCCAGATTGGTTCCAGGTTGATGAATGTGTTTCTCTCCTTACCGATTCTCGATTTGACATCCTCGTCCGTCCGTTTCTCCTGTAGTTGAGACAATGCTCCCTAGATAAATGAATGAAGTAACCTCTTTCAAATCCCTCCCATTGGTGTTGATTGGCGCTGGATGTTGCTGTTGTTGTTGTTGTTGTTTGGTTATTTTCATAACCTCCGTCTTGTCTATGTTCACCTGCTTAAAACTTGGGGCTACCAAAAAACCCCATCAATGTATATTGTATATAATTTCTCTTATTTAGTTTGTTTAAATCTATTAAAGTATGGCTTCTAATAGTGTTGTTTCCTCTGGTGAGTATTTAAAACATTTACAACCTCCTGATTCTCAAGTTTCTACTAAGTATGAGGTGAAGAAGCATTATCTTCGATGGATGGATGGTAGCTTCTCCAAATGCATGAGATGACCGTTCCTCAGTGGTGTCCTGCGTCCACAAAATGTACTACTGAATTTTCTATAATTGGCATTCAACAAAAAAATATCGTTGTGTATTTCTCCAAGGAGGGGAAGAAGAGATATCATAATGATGGATTGGTTTGTGCTTCATGTTAGAAAGATAGAAAACTGTGTCACACGATCCACTGTCAATCAATATGTATTTGAAGATCTTGGACAAAGACAAAATATCATGCAGTAAACTCGGCTGAAAATTCTGTACATTACGTAAACACTATTCGACATAAAGCTATCACTACTAAGCAAAGACTACTATCGACTTTATCCATCAGTGTATTGAAACAAACCGGTACCCGAAATCTTATTGGAAATCTCTACGTTGTAGGAGAGTTGGGCCTAATGATAAGACACTCAAACGCCATGCACGTAACCAAATTGACTCAATTCAATTGTGTATTACTGAGTTATCTAAGAACGTGACAGAAAGGTTCTATGCTGTTGACGAATTACCAGAAAACTTCAAGAAATTATTTTTAGATTATGTGGATGTAATTGTGAGTAATAGGAAAGAAAAGAAACGCCTGCAGCTGGTACAGAGCTTAGAGAACAAGGCACCTGAAACAAGATTTCTTCCGAACCCAAATCGTTTTGTGTTTAATTTTTCGGATGTAATACTTAATGAAGTAGATCTACAGGTTTTATCGCTTGGCCCTAAATTTTGTGATAGCCATGTAAAAATTAACAAAATCGATGCACAAATTCAGTTCGAAAGTCTCTACACCCAAACGGAAGGCCTAACACCCTCATCAACTGAAGATGTTGAAAGACTTAAATCGACACTGGTCAATTGTTGCTATTATTACATGAACATTAAACGCAATTCGGATAGTATCTTAACCAAAAAACATAGAGAAGTCCTGGATGTTCTCCGCAAAAATGATAACATAATAATAACAAGACTAGATAAGGGCTCAGGAGTGGTTATCATGAACAAATCGGATTACTTTGAGAAGATGAATACTATTCTTAATGATAATCTAAAATTCCAAAAAAATCTCCTCTTCTCCGGATCCGATTGAAAAGATAGAGAAACAGTTAGCGGAAACATTGAAAAGACTGAAACAACAAGGCTTCATCCCACAGAGTCAGTACACATCACTTAAACCCACCGGAACGTTCACATCAAGACTATATGGCTCGCCTAAAGTGTACAAAAATGGTGTAACGCTGCGACCACTATTAGATATGCTAAATTCACCATACCATGCTGTAGCCCAATGGTTAGTAGAACTCTTACAGCCCCTTCATACTGAGTTGGTGAAACATAGTGTAAAGGATACTTAGGGATTCGTTGAAAGGATAAAAGATTTAAATGTTGATAATAAATTCATGATATCATTTGTTGACGTATCTTCTTTATTCATCAATGTACCTATCACTACTATTAGCCGACGGCAGACGAGAACGGGTAATCCACTTAGAACTTTGCACAGAAGTAAGATCGGATTGTTAAGCTTTTGAATAACAGATGCAAGTCGAACTATATCTACACAGAAAGAATGAATGGGTGATGCACACACAAAACCAGGATGGATGGCGTAAGACATCTTAGATCGATAAAGTTATCATTTAACTGTTGCACATTAACAGCATATCCGTAACGCTATTCACTTTCTATTCACTGAGAAAAACTATACCTACTGGAAATTCTATATAAACATTAGATCCAAACAGGCTGTCTAAATTTTGTGTTACAAATATATACAATAACACTGTGTGCACACATGCATTTCGTTACACAGCCAAAATATATAAGATAAAACATTATTGGTTTGTACAGTAAAAAGAAAACGAGAAGAGGATATTGATTTCAAGAAAAGATGAATACAGTTCATAGTCTCTATAAATAATAAGATGAATAGTTATAAAGAGAAAAGGAAAAGGGATAGATTGAGATTTGCTGTATGAACAAGCCTTTTATTATCACTACTAATGTTCCATTGGGTTCCGAGTGGAACATAACACTTCCCCGTTTTGCCCTATTCACTGCAGTTCTATTTAGCTGACCTCACGATTGCCCACAGTCTCTCATCTCCTCTCTAACACACAATCTCCTCCATCTCAGCCTCAAAGTGGCGCCATTTCTCATTCAGCTTCCACTCCAGTGATGGCTTGGCAACCGATATCATTCGACGGTCTCCTCCTCAGGGGTGTGTGCCCTATCCATCTCCACTTTCTTCTACATATTTGTTGAGTAATAAGATCTTTATTGGTTCTCTCACGTAGTTTCATGTTGCTCAGTCTTTCTGACTGACCATTTGATGATCTCCAGTATGCAGCTAGCGAAGGCAGTTGTTGATAAAAAGTGCCAAAGTCTGTTGAAAATGCTTTTCGTGACGCGTTAGCCAAGTTTTTCACCCATACAGAAGAACTAACTGACTGACTGATGTTGAAAATCCAAATTTGATCTGCACACATGAGTTGCTTTTCCTGATTACAGCTTATACTAAGGGCGTTGAGTTCTGCATCTAGTGCATTTTTTAGCCACTCCAGGATGACACGACTAGTATGAACAAGTCTACTTAACTAGAAATAAATACACACAACACCGAAGTGTTACATGATTGGTAACAAAGACGGCAATCAGTTGTTCTTTTCTTCTTTGAGAAATAAAAAGCAGCTGGGAACGGAATGCATTTTGTGCATAAAGTAAGAGTAATCAAGATAGAAGCTCAATCTTGAAGAAAAAAGCAGAAGTTCGAAGTACATATAGAGCGAGAAGACAGCAATACGTTGGGTTGACCGATACGAAGACTCTAGATCATCTGGATTTTGTGGATGATTCATACCTAATGTCACAAACTCGAAGGCTTGCAGGCGAAAACCATCAAACTGGCAGAAGAAAAAGCAAAGATAAGACCCCAGGTGAACATAGAGGAGAGGCAGGTAATGAAAATAACCAATTAACAGCGACAACCAGCACCAATCACCATCAAATGGAGAAATTTGAAAGAGGTTACTTCGTTTCACTTACGGATGATGTCAAAACCAGGCAGAATCGGAAAGGCGAGACATATCTTCATCAATTTGAAATCAGTTTGTGAAGCTTCTGCACTCAGTCAGCATAAACAACAAAATTCGGATTTTCAACATCAACATTCAGCCAGTCAGTTAGTTCTTCTGTATGGGTGAGAAACTTGGCTAGGGTGTCAGGAAAAGCATTTTCAACAGACTTTGGCAGACCTTTTATCAACAACTGCCCTCGCTAGCTCCATACTGGAGATCATCAAATGGCTAGGGAAAAAGAATCAGCAACAAGAAGCTCAGGGAGCAAACGAACCAAGAGCCTATTACTCAGAAAGGGAATATTCCGAAGAGATGGGGATGTATTGTACTCACACTGAGGACACCCTTGAGTGATACATCGGACGTTAGATGACACTGTCCTCGTTTATGGCTCACATATAGCCATTGAGAGTGGAAGACATGAAAAGGCTGGCTATCTGTCTTTGATGATATGTGTCTGCGTTCTGTCTCCCGTGTTAGGTGGTATAACAGAGTGACCAATATTGAGGTTAGGTATCAGTCGAGTGCTACGTAAGGAGGGGAAATCAACCGATGAAGTTGTGAAATTACACAGAGTGAGATGGTTAGGACAAGCGTTGCCCATGCCTCATCATCACCTTCCTCGATTTGATTGTTACCTGCCATAGGATGGATCAGGTCGGAAAATAGTTAGTGGTGGTCAAACCGAAACAGTTAGTTTAAGTAGGGAGATGTAGACTTTCTGGTTGGGGTCCTCGGGATGGTACAAACCAATGGCTGGAGACAACCAGTGATACGACTCGAAATCGTTCTCTATGATGGCGCAGATATACATTCACTCTTTGTGATTTATGATATCCAATAAAATTCTATTGTTCCTCCATAATACTACTCTTTTCGCCTCACTCACACTTATGTTTATTATCTCGTTTCTCTTGCTTTGTGTGCTACATGGAGGGAGAGTGGTAACTCGAACTGGTGCACATTTGTGTAAAGTTCTACGGTGAAACTAGTCAGTCATCGTGCACCAGATCATCTCTTGAGAGTAATCAGAATGTGAAACGACGAGTGAGTCCAAGAGTGACACATGGAGGAGATCATGTGAGTAGATGAGAGACTATGGGCATTCGTGGAGCCAACTCCTCAAGAGGACTGTAGAAAATAGGACAAAGTGGAGACATGCTGTTGTAGCTGAAAAATAAAGTAATGGAAGGCATAAGAAGTTTTGATAACTATGAGAAGTAGGTACATCCGTATTATTCTAGACCATTTAGAGGAGTCCTGTCACCTGTCTGTCTGTTTTCGACATAGAACTTTGCACATATGTGCGGCAGTTCAAGTCGCCACACTCCATGTAGCACACAAAGGAAGAGAAGAAAGTAGGAGAAATGCATAATATAGACAGTAAACAAAGGTGTGAGACAAAGAAGTAGTAATAACGAAGAACAAAACAGTTTCATTGGAAATCATGAGTCACAAGGAGTGGATGCATCTGAGCCACCTACAGTCTTAACCTTAAGACTAATGTTTTCCTGAAGGTCACGGTGAGAAAATCTACATACACCGAATGCCATAAGGTCAAATCAGTACATGAAGACTTCAAAGCCTGACCAGATAATGATAAATGACAGTTGGGTTCCCTTCTCTATCCAAAATTATGCCTTTGGCGTTTGGAACGATGAGTGCACTGGGTTCGAGCCTCGCTGGGAACATCATCACTGACTCACTGGGGAATGCAGGTACATCCATCCAGATGACGAGTCCCAAGTAGGACGATATACGCATTCTGGATTCCTCTGGTAGTCACCATCCAACAACTAACTTCTAGTTACATGTCCAGACATCGTCGAAGCATCCGCACAAGGAGCCGACACGTTAACCCAAAACTGAGTACTTCGGTCTTGAATTAGATCATGTGAAAAACAATCTCTAGCCATTTGGGTTCTTAGCATACTGAACACCCTAACAAATAGGCCTACACCTACCTGCGTTACTCAAACCAACTGATTTCAGGTTTCAATTCGACCAAAACTAACTCTTTTCCAACCCAACTCTATGTCAGCTAACATTGTTCGAGGAAGGGGAGGGGCGGCGATATCTTGGGATGCACAACGCTTGTCCTAGGTCATCTTAATCGATTGTAATTCTCACAACCTCATCAATCAACTCCCCTTTTTTTACCTAGCACTCACTCTAAGCCCAACTTACATCCTGCTAGCTCACCATATTGTACCACTTGACAAGGAAGATAAAACGTAAGCATCTGTGATCGGAGACAGCCAGCCTTTTCACATATCTTCTACTTTCCATAGGCATGTCTCACAGTCACACAGCATACAGCGGAACTGCTGAACAGTATACATGTGTCCTCTGACGGATAACCGGATGACATCAAGGTGATTCACAACCTTTACAATTGAAATACATAGAACAGGTATGACTCATCAGATTAGACACTCAATACACAGCCTGTCAGGCTTTACACAATAGGTATGACTAACATCTGTATATACGATTTAAAATGTTCTTCTTTTATACACCTAAAAGTCTGAATACACCGAAAAGTTCAGGAAAGACGGAGGCATCACATTGACATTTAGAGAAAAAAAGCAGCTTGTATTGAATATGACCTGATATAAAATATACTACAAAAAAAAGTGAATGAGACTCACAGCATCTAGATTTATAGGGACACGGGATACAGTATCTTCATGGCTAACTTGTCTCCGCCTCATATACATAGTCTGTGCAGCGCGTACTTCATCTATGACATTTTGACGATTCGCTAAACAACGAGCTGCTGCTGCTGTTTGATTTATTCCATTTCTTGCACGTATTCTTTCAGCTATAGTTAAACTACGTCGTGTTTGACGAGGATTATTATTTCGCATTGATCCACTATTACTGTGTACTTGAGATCTTGAATCGGTTACTTTTGTATGCGTTGGAGATGGTTCAGCTTCAGGGTCAGGTGAATGATTTTCTTGATTTTCGCTTGGACTATTCGATGCTTCAGCATTGGCATGGTATTCCGGTTCAGGTTCACCATCTCCGTTAGCTACTTCTCCTAAAGTGTTGTGAACATCAGCAACAATATAAAACAACACAATGGGAGAAACACAATGAACAATGCGTAAAAAAGGGCATGATATTATGTGGTGTATATTAAGAAAAGCAGTTCAATTACTAGTACATCTGTAAGAGTATTCACTTCCTGAAGAGGAAAAAGTGCCGTTCCACTTATGCCGCATAAGTGGAACGACACTTTTTCCTCTTCAGAACAGAACATTAGATTCAATAATCTATAACATGCTAAAATTTCCAAACTGAATCGGCAGTACTGTTTGAAACAAACTCACTGTTATTATTATAATTATTATATTTAATATTCTCAATCCGTACTTCGAATATTTTTGACTTTATATCGTAAACGTGGGCAAATTCCTCTGGTTAATTTTGTTTTAATTTTTAATTTTATTTATATTTTGAGTAAATCAGATGCAACATTGTGACAAATGCTGAGAATTCCATTCTGTATTATAAGTACTGTCTGTTTTGGAATAAAGTAGATTATTATTATTATTATTATTATTATTATTAAAATGAACCCAAGGACTGCAGTCCTATGAAAACGCTTCTACAGGTAGTTCACCAATTTATTATTATTACTATTATTCCTTTATGTTCCGAGTGGAACATATCGCTTGAAGCTAGAGCTTGTAAATTTCGGTAGGAGGTGAGGTTGTTAGCGACACACCCAGCCTTTCATCTTTACTGGCTTTAATACCAGGCTTAGCAAGGTTTGGTAATGCGTTGGCCGGCGAAGGGAAGGGGACAATTGAGCCCCGGACCACGGGCGTGGGATTGTTGGCAAGCGTTCTACCGCGGAACCATAGACGCAGCACAGTTCACCAAGTTATCCTATTATTACACCGGATGGTTGGTTTTCTTTTTTAATTCAATTAAAAAGCCTTTTTAAGAAAAATGCTTTTACCTTCAGCAGGTGGTTCATCACCATCGTTAAATGTATCTGGACTGGTAGATGAATGTGGAGGCGATGCTTGTAGCCGAGATCCCTAACAAACAAACAAGCAAATAAACAAGCGGAAAAAGAAATGAGATCATGATTAAACAATCCAACAGATTTTAACAATGAAAAAAAATTACGACAATTTAACTGCACAGTTATTTAGGACATATCACCAATACCACCACCAGCCATACATTTTTCTAATGCCTTCGAGTACAAAATATCTGACCAAACACCAGTGAAGATATCATCCCATTACTATGATGGCAATGGTTCTCTAACTGATATCAATCCGTGATCAACTCGTAAAAACAAAACTAACCCTAACAAACCGATAACTGCTACCTTGCCGTGGTGGTCGGGCTTGAATGCCGCAGTGACCCAACAAGCTAAACTGGCTGGGACTCATGTCCCTGCAGGTCCTACCATGTCAGGAAGGTGTTTTGGATAGCGGTTAGACTAAAAGCAGTTACCATGGGGTACATGGGCTCCAGAATCCAATCGGATCAAATGGCGTACGAACCCATATGGGTCACCGGCAACCATGGGAACGCAGCACCTGACGCTGCTCCGCTGCCTTGCGGGTTAGACTCCAAGTCAAAGGCTCGGGGGTGGTCCCTTAAGAAAACCACCTGCATCGGTCTGGGCACTCGGGCAGTATCTCAGCCCTCACACAATGAATGAAATAAAGCAACAAAATATCAGTGGAACTTATCGCGCTCTCGTAACAATGCGTTCAAGCAATAATGATGTCTCAAGTAACACATCTCTTTCCAGCCTTACTTTTATTTTTATACTTAGTTTCCTATATTTTACCTTTGCTCACCTTGACTTCTTAGCCTTCGACAGCCTTTCGCCTTTGTCTGGATTCCTAACCTATCTGTGTCGTGTTGCAATTTCCTTCTTTCTTCCCTTCCTGATGAAGTTCTTTATCCGTTTTCTACTTATATTTTTACTTTTAATCTATGTTGTTTTATTATTATTGTGTGGCGCATCTTTCTTGGTGCCATATTGTACCAAGTTTTTCTGCGTTTAAATATAAAACAAACCAAACTATAGAAAATTAATCTGATGCTTCCTCGCTAGTGACTTGCTACAGGATTGAGTTTCCTGGAGTTCTAGTGAGAAGTCGTGACCAGTGAGGTCCATCCGCATGCCACGTGTGAGGATGGATGTCCCACCTACGGCAATGGTTGGGGTCGCGCTAAATCACGAATTGGTAGGAGTTAGAATTCATGGACTGGCCATTGAGGAATTGGGTCCCAGTGGACTGAATGGTCTACGAGCTTGCTTTGTAACCGGAAAATCCTCCATTCGAACCCCAGTGGGTGCGTACTGCCGATGATTCCCAAACTAGGATGAAACAGCTGTCCAGTACTCCCTGGATGGTTTTCAATGGTTCTCTAGATGATATCAATCCGTGGTCAACTCGTAAAAACAAAACTAACCCTTACAAACCAAACTATAGAAAATGTTACATAGCCAAATAATCATTTTACAACTGAGGGGGAATATATTTATGTTTGATATACTGCGCACTTTCATCACACCACAATGTGTTTATTATCTCTCTGTCTGTCATTCCTTTTGCACTGCGGGTGGAATACATGGCTTCAAAAATTAGGGCTTTGAAGCTTCAGTAACAGTGGTGTCGGTAGCTTTACACACCCAGGCTTCCTTCTTTGCCTGGCTTACCACCAACTAAGCAAGGTTAGCGAGTGCATCGGTCGGGAATCGAACCGTGACCAGGTGAGCGACTTGGCAAGTATTGTACCACCAGTGGACCGACCCACCAACACACTTGTGTTCACTGTTATATAATCGTACTTCCATAACTTCTCTTAGCCTTTTGATTTCATGAATCCTGGTTATCTGAAATGATGTGCATCTGTGCTATATAAATATGAAGGTGAAAACCAGTGCCCTTTAAATATCCATCTCGGGTGTTTATCCACGCTTTAATAGAAAGAGAGGCGAAACTCTGTGAACACACGCATACACACATTTACTGAAACATACCATATTGAGTATGCGAACATGAGTAATAGGCAGAACGTTTCTAGACTGATCGCAGAAATATTGTCCATCCACCCCTCCCCAACCCCAATTTATCTAAATTATGAGAATATCACCAGTAAACATCTCCAGGCACTCACTCCATTTTTGTTTCTTATTTTCTCTTATTTTTAACACTGAATGACTTTTTCCCTGTCAAGACAAACAGGGGGTCCCGACAATGTTACACCTTATGTTGACAGTGTCTGTCAGATAACTTGTCACAAACTATCAAAAGACGTGATTAGTAACACGGAGCTGCTTTTGCTCCATATTGAAGATAAAATGAACCAAAAGAATTAGCAACAAGAAACGCCGGGAGGTGACGAACCAACCAAGAACCGATTGCTTAACAAATAATATTCCGAAGAGAATGGAAATGAACTTGGCAGACACACACATACACTGAGGAAACCGTCGAGTGGTGACATAGCGCGCTAGGTCATCGATCGAGTGGAACCAGAATGGGAAAAGATGAGTTATGCACGTCTGAGAATTCCACAAATAGGTCAACTAACTTAGAGAGTACTTGACGGTGGCTTGAAACAATTCTACTAGTCATATCAAGTTTCGAGAAACATTCTCTAACATTTAATGTCAAATGAGAGTCAACATTATTATTATCGTTTCCTTTAATTCCTAGAGGAACATAGGGCTTCAGCTGTGCGTCTCCATTGCGTTAGGTTCTCTGCTAGAGTCTTAACCTGGCTCCAAGTCTGCCCACACGTTTTCATCTCCTCTTCACATGACCTCCTCCATGTCACCCTTGCACTGACGACCAACTCGCCGATTCCCTTTCGGGTTCCACTCGAGCAATGGCTTGTCTAGTGATGTCACTTGATGGTTTGTTTCCTAAGAGTATGGCCAATCCATTTCCATTTCTTCCTGCCTATTTGCTGCACAATCGGTTCCTGCTGGGTTGGTTTTCTCCCAGAGATCACACCCTGTTGCTGATCTTTTCTGGTTGGCCATCTGATCTTGAGTATTGAGCGAAGACAACTGTTAATGAAGGTCTGTAGTTTGTTTGAAGTGCTGTTTATGACGCGCTGGCCAAGTCTCTGATCCGTATAGTAGCACTGAATGACTTCACATTCGAGTTGAAAATACGGATCTTATTTTTGATGCTGAGTGCTGTTGACCTTCACACAGACTTGAGAGTAATGAAAGCTTGTCTTGCTCTCCCGATTCTTGCTTTGATATCCTCGTCATTTCCGCCTGTAGTTGAAACGATGCTTCCCAGGTAGATACATTCGACAAAAGCTGTTCACAATCGGTGATTCTTTAAAAGTTTAAAAGATGAATATATATTATATCACTGATACTTGTCAATAAAATAAAACTTGTCAATGATTACCTCAGACAAAGGATGATACCATGTAGTTCTATGATTTATATGATCCACATAATAAACTCGACCGTTGGCATCAGTTCGTTGCTCCCAGCCTTGTGGTAATCGACTGTAACACATTGAGAAAAGAAGAAGCACAGATATGACTAGAAGTCTGTTTAATTTAACTAACAAATTACACCCAGTTAATAGATAGCTTTAGAAAAGTTTATATCTAATGCACTTACTTTTATATTCTGTTGGAAAGATAAAAGTCACTTATTCAGGTATGGTACTGTAACAACAGAAGACAAGGGCCAGGCAACAGATCGTTTATTACGAAAAATCAACACGTATTTATAGATTTTTATGTACATTATTGTAGGTTAATGTTAGTAGAAAATGCAGCCTGTTGATTGGTTGTTTCTCACACAAAGTTAACCTTGCATCTCTTGTGGCTGTGTCAGTTCATCTATATGTTAACTGTATCCACCTGTCCATCTTGACTTTTGACCTCAATTACTGTCAACCAATTTGGCTAGCAACCATCTCTCACCACACTCGTCCCCCCGTCAAAGACTTGCGACTGAAGTTGGTTCGGTCTTCTCGGTTCTTGGGGCTTTGCTCTTTTGTCTTGCTGTCTGGAATCTCGGCGCCTGCGGATGTTCACTTGTTTCTCTGTGTTTACCATTGCGATTGTGTCTGCGTGACCCCATCTCAACGTGACCATATATGGTCCTTCACACTTTGGAAACTGTTTGCCTGACCCTGTCGCACATTCGTAGGTATTTCGCCTCACACTTTCATATGCTGCTTTCTCCCGACCTCCCAGCAGCGTCCCAAGTAGCGGCCTCATCGCTGACAGATCTTGAACGCCACTCAACTGCGAAGAAGCCTCGAAGTCCTGCCCGAAGATCCATATGTCTCCATCAAAAACCGCAGGGCATAGACTTTCCATTTGTCGGTAGGCAGCGACACCAAATGTAACAACAGAAGACAAGGGCCAGGCAACAGATCGTTTATTACGAAAAATCAACACGTATTTATAGATTTTTATGTACATTATTGTAGGTTAATGTTAGTAGAAAATACAGCCTGTTGATTGGTTGTTTCTCACACAAAGTTAACCTTGCATCTCTTGTGGTTGTGTCAATTCATCTATATGTTAACTGTATCCGTCAGTCCATCTTGACTTTTGACCTCAATTACTGTCAACCAATTTGGCTAGCAACCATCTCTCACCACAGTACTACTACGTCTAGTTAGCCACAGATAACGATAATTCCTACGTGGGGGTAGAGGTGGGATTCAAGTTTCCAACTCAATATATAATTGGATACCAGTTGCTTACACTAGGTTGTTAGATCTCAATTACCCATCACATGATCAATCCTATAACCAAAGCAACACTTGATGAATTTATATCACCCTCAAAGTGGTGTAGCTAGTTTGCTTATAAGAGGTATTGTCAAAACTGAGTACATGCATAGGTAGGATTTTCACAAAACGATACAGCTTATATTGTAATTCTGGTGAGTATTTAAGACTTAAACCATTAATAGTTTACAGTTCCTCTTGGAAATAGGATTGGTGAAATGTCTAAGTGACAGAGCACAAAAACTAAGTAGTACCAAGGAAAATCTAAGACAGGAAGTGATACATATAAGAGAAGCCTTGAAACTTAATAATTACCCTGATAAATTAGTCAGGAAATATGTAGGGAAATGTAAAAATAAAATAAATAGTGATAGTAGTGATAGTGATAATAATATTAATGACGACATGCATGTCAAATGTGCGCAAGACAATACCAACAATAAGGAATCTAAATCTAAATCATCAGTAGTAATTTCATACAGGGAAGGAACCTCGGAAACCACATTACGCAGAATTCTTAACAATGCAGGCAGGAATAAAAGTGGCTGGCTGGCATTCAAACCAACCACAAACTCAATTAGGAACAAGCTTTGTCTGTTAAAGCATCAATCCTGTGGAGCCAATTAAATAAAACAATTTAGTTTATCTAATACCCTGCTGGAATGATTGTCAAGTCAAATACATAGGTCACACTAGTAGAACAGGAGCAGTCAGACTAGCCGAGCATGGAAACCTAGCAAAACCCAGATTGATTGGCCCGAATGAGATAAGAAATCTAGAGAATAATTCAGCTATAGCACTATATGCAATTACACACAATCATACAATAGGCTGGATGGGATAGGATGACAGTTCTAAAACCTAATGTCACAGGGTGGAGGGAGAGATTGATATCAGAAGCTTTGTTTATGGAATCAACTGCAAATACATGTAACAGGAATGATTCAACACCTGTCCCAGATATCTGGAAAATTCTACTACCCATACGGTGACAAATAGGAGAAGACAAAGAAAACTATAAAACTCAAGTTTCGAAGTCGTGTAATTATAATTGATATGATTATGAACAATAAATTTTGTACGAAACGTCATCCAGTAAATAATACTGTTTCAATCACTGTGTGATACATCCAATAAACAAATTGGTATGGAATCACTTACTACCACAGTTCACAAGTTTTACACATATATTAAGAGAAATGTTTTTGCCTTATTGGGAGGTGTGACCACCCAACAGCAATTTTCACTTATTTCATAAACTTGATGTAAACCTATTGAAGTATAGTAATTTTTTTTCAGTAATACTCACTTTATTCCAAACAACAATAATAATAACAGGGAATGGGATTTTCAGAGATTTTTTTGTAAATAATGCAACAATTTAGCTCTTTTTATAAATATACAGTTTATAAGTTCTTTCCTGACATGTGACTTCATACAAAACCTGAGCGAAATATGGTATGGTAGAATTCTCATATATCTAGTTGTACGAGCATAAATTCTTGTGAAGTTTCTCATGGCTTTACCAGAAGAGATACAAGGAAAAAATTGAGAATATGTGGGGATAATGTTTTGGTATCAGACGAGATAATTTTAGCTAACTGTTTGAAAGAATTGAAGTGCCTATTGATAATAACCCTACTTACAGCCTTCAGTGTTCTGCGTAAGATGATATAGTCTTTTTTGAGAAGTTCAGGGAAGAATAAAAGCGAACAGTAAAGAAGAATGGGCAGAATACATGAATTAACAAAGTGTAAGAAAAGAGGTTGATTTATGTCAGCAGAAAGTATCAACTTCTTTATGGAATAAGTCAAACAAGAGATTTCCTTAGAAATCAACAAGATACGAGACCAGTAACAGAGATGCGAAAAGAAACTGCTGCCGAGATGAGAGATATTCGATTTACTCCCTATTACAAGGCCGTCAATATTACAGGAATCATGGAAGGACTGAATCACAGTCCACGCAAGTTTTGTTCGCAAATGAAACTAAAATCAACAATAATGACCTGTTTAGATGGATTCAGTTTACGACCATCTGAGTGAGACCATTTGTTAATTTCAGATAAGAATCTGTTCACATAGGAACAATCCAATGCAGAAACTACTGGAACAGAAATAGTTACATCATCGGTATGTTTATTGAAGTTGGCTTTGGAAGAATATGGAAGGCTATACACAGAGAACGGAAAAAGGAATGGAGACAGTACGACACCTCGAGACACATCAGTTTCTGTTAACAACGAAGTGGAGCGATTTCTATTCAACACAGTATGTTGTTTTCTACCCGAAAAATAAGAAGACAGCCAGCCACCTTGTGACCGCAGGACTCTGTGTTTGCTGAAATCAGCCTGCTTAGTAAAAGTGCCCTAGGAATAGAGTCATAAGCAGCAGTGCAGTCTAAAAATGAGGCTTGAACAAACTTTGCGCCTTTAACAGGACTCGAAAGAACATTGTGGCGGAGTACGGAGATAGTATCTAATGTGTTTCTACGGTATTTTTAAGCAAACTGCTTTGGGTTATTAGCAGACTTCAAAGTCTGTCTGTGTACTTTTGGAAGTGTGTGGTCGGTTGTTACTTCCCGGCTGCCCACACCGTGGAAGTTGATTGATTCTTCGGGAACCTGAAACAGAAAGTGTTGCGTAACCGCAGAGTCCAGGGCACAACTGCTTGAGGCCGGTCGGGGCAGACTTCAAAGACGGTTGAACAACATGAATGAGAAGTTTCTCCATGGTTTTTGGAAAATGGAGACATGATGGCGACTGGTCTAAACTTTAGATCTGATTCACATGATTCTGGTATAGGTACCACTTTTATTTCTTTTCAGGCAACGGGTACTATAACCCTGAGAAATGATGCAATAAACATTTGTGTTAGGTGACATAAAATATCAGCACACTTTTAAAGTAAAATGCTTGATACATCATCGGAAACCAATCTGTGTGATGGATTTAAGTAACAACTAAGCCTACTGACTTTCTGTAATTTTTGATAAGTACAACCATCAATTGCTCATTTATACCAGCATTAATCATTCCTGAAAAATTAGTGGAAAAAATACGAGATACCTAAAAATTCTAAAAAACAAACTGCTTACAATGAAGGTCTATCCCATTGTGTACGTTTATTCACATGATCCACATAATATGTACGTCCATTCTGATCCACTCTTTCATCCCAACCTGGAGGTAGAGGATCTGATACCATTTCTACTGAAGAACTTTCATCTAATGATGTGGATAGCATTGGTCCAACAACACTTTCAGTAACACTTTCAGCATCCATTTCTATAGGTGTATTTCTAACAAGTACACAACTGTCAGTACCATTTTCTGCAGTACCAGATGCTGTAGAAATACCAGGACTGTGGGAAGACTGTGTTTGTAAACTAGAACGATGTGAAGAAACTTGATTAGGCGAGATGTGACCTTCACTATGCCTTTGATCAGATGACTGGAATAAAAAAAATAAAACATGTAAACATTTAGAAACAAAACGATGAGTACTGCTTTCAGTTTTTCAGCTGACATAACTATGTAAAAGTTCAACGATAATTTTCGGGGCTTTTTCTGGACACAAACTTATTTGCCAAGAGATGTTTTAAGCTTTGCACTAATCTGTTCTCAACATCTTGTGTGGTGACTACCCGGACACCCAGATCTAAGCAGATGATTGTCTTACAGGACCCTTTCCAAATCTGTAACTTGACACAATCTACAAAGAGGAATAGTGTGGTGAGAGCTGGCTGCTAGCCAAAGTTGGTAGACAGTGATTGATGTCAGTGTTTATGTCCCCAACATTGGTGGTGAGAAAATGAGAACAAAGGCTTTGCGTAGGCGGATACAGTTAGCATATGGATGATCTGACACAACCACAAAGAGATGCAAGGTTAACTTTCTGTGAGAAACAACCAATCAAAAGACTGCATTTTATACTAACAATAATCTACAACAATGTACATCAAAATCTATAAATATGTGTTGATTTCCCTTAATAAACGATCTGTTGCCTGGCCCTTGTCTTTTGTTGTTACAATAGCACAGTCAGGAGCTACATTCTTACGGTTACTCTACCAGTCACTGCTTTCGCATACTGGAGATTAAGTGCACTATTAGTTTGGGATTAGCATTTTCAAACCCAGCCTAGGTAAATCTTTCATGTCCACTAGTCTAGTAATGTGTGCGAGACATTCAGAGTTCGTCTTACACTTTTGTAGGAATATCCGGTGACAGGTGAAAGCATTGAATAGAAGTCGCCTGGCAGAGGCAGAGAACGCACAGCATAGCATAGTGTTTGCGCACAAAAATCTCTGCATAACATAAAATGAGGCAAAATACATTCGGATGGCAAGACACACCCTTACTCAATAAGATAGCACCACACTAAATTGCAAAAACATGTTCTATGTTAATAAACAGTTAATCATAAACAGTTTGTATCTAAATTGGTAACGATATAACTTAACTCATATAGTTAGTTATTACACTGAAAACGCCTCCAAAGCCTCAGGATGGTCGGGAGTGGGTGCCTTGCGCTGCGGGTTGGCCACCCCTCCGCACACCTCTTGAAATGCTCCCATATGACCGGGCGTCTTACATAGCCTCTCCTGAGGAAGTCCTACTCACTGCCTTCACGTGGCGGAGGTGTTTTTCACCAAAGTGAGAGGGCGAAAGCGGATGCCCGGCGCTCTTCACCGGGTTGACTGTCCATTGGATGACAGTCTAGGGGAGATGGCTAAACCCTGACTCCAAACCTCCAACGACTGGCGTATGAAGCTCACTGGAGCTCACCGGCAGACGTATGGACAAAGGGCTTGTTGGATGTCCTGGATGTCTGGCCCCATTCAAAAAGGCGTATGAACCGAACTCCGGTCAGCGGCTGCCAATGGATAGTGGACTCCCTACTCCACTCCTACTGCCTTGTAGGTCACACTTGGTTGTGTAAAGGCTAGAGCTGCACTCTCAAACAAAAGGCCGAGCGATTCTGGGGACATCACTCGTACCAAATTCCCATGAAACTTCATGAACTCTCTTCATCAGATCGCCGCGCCTGGGCAGCGATGATTCGAGATGTTCATGAAGCCGGCTCATCCTCCCGTAGGAGATAGCCGAAGTAAAGTAAAGTAAGTACAGTGAAAACACAGAACTAACCAATTCAACAATAGCAGGAATTTCACGGAGAGATGATATTCGTGGATTTAAATGGCTCGGTAAGTAGGCCAAATACAAGTGCAGATTGCCTCGAACACGGGACCGAGAGCTGAAATAGAATAAGTGATACTCTACGTGAACAACATATAAAAAGAAGCATAATACCTGCATAGGAATCATATAGTTAGTAACCCAGGCTTTTTAGTTTAGACCTAAATCGTCGTATACTAACAATGTCATCAGACTTTGCGTAACCTCAGCCTCACATAGTTGAACATGATTCATGTTTTAGGTGAACTAATCAATTTAAATCTACAACTGTAACACTGCATCTAATTCATCTTATCCAAATAAAGAAATCGCTCAAGACTACTACAGATACTCTCACCGTCATATTACTCAATCACAAGGTGAACAATATTGAGGTTAGGCATCAACTGCTAGGTAAGGAGGGGAAATCAATCGACGAGGTTGTAAAATTACACTGATTGACATGGTTAGGACAAATGTTGCGCATGCCTCATCATCACTTCCCTCGATGGGAAATGTTAGCTGACATTGGATGGATCAGGTTGGAAAAAAGCTAGTGGTGGTCAAAGCAAAACATGGCATCAACCAATGAAATCCACAAGTCAGTTTAAGACATATAGGGAGGTGTAAACTTCCTGACTGGCTAGTTTGGGTCCACGGGATGTGGCTGGCTCGAAATTGTCGTTTTCAATGATGTGCGGATGCATTCAATCTTTTTGATTTGTCATATCCAATAAAACTCTACTGTTCTTCTTCCATGTTACTATTGCTTTCGCCTCACTCATACTTCTGGTTATCTCTCTTTTGAATCTCTTTACTGCATTTCCTAGCTTTGTGTACAGTATGTGGGGCGGGGGGAGAGTGGCAACTCGAACTGGTGCAGAGCTGTGCTGAAACCAATCGGTCAGACTCAATCAGAGAATAGCTATTGAATGAAGATACAAAAAAGCCGACCTTAAAGCGATGACTGTGAGATCCATACAAAGAATACTGGTAGTTACCAGTAACAAAAGGAACGCAAATCTTGAATCTCAAGTTCCAGGTTCAAGAAGTGGTGTTTACAAGAAATATATGCTTCAGTCTGGTTATCTGGAACGTACCACGGCTATTATTGACAATGGTGATTTCATAAGGCTCTTTTCACTTTACTAATTAGTCTATTGAATTCTAAACTTCAGTATTCAATTCAGCCATATGTTTTTCATGAATTACTGTTGTTACTTTGACTGAAATAAGAAAATTCCGTGGATTTACACTGGAACGCAATCAATGGCGATAAATGTGCACAGGCTAGCGTTTTATTACAGAAATTACCAATATATATCTCTAGTTGCTATAGTAGCAATGGTATGGTAGCAATTAAACGGGAATGAAGTTACAATCCAGTCTTACCAACTAAGGCATTCACATTAATGCAAACGAAGACACCATGCACGACTTCCTAAACATACTTCTGAAAACCACAAATCTCGAAAAATTCTGAAACAAAATGGATAGTCTCTATTCCCATATCTTTTCCATCTACGATATAAACTACTGTAAATGTATGATGGTAAATCCTCAAAGACTAAATCTATCAGTGCGCCTCCAGATAAACTGAGAGGGACTCACTAAAAAATACATGAACAAGTGAGCTTAATTGTTAACACCTTGGGATTACTAAGTACAATATTAGGAGAGTTGAAAACAAGCGTAAGAGATAACTCGGTATTCAAAAGCTGCACTATGAAACACATCAATAATGCAGGGTAAGTGAACCAACTGATTACTAAGACTTGAGCAGACACAGTAAAATTCTACTTTACAACCCCATAGTTAAGAAATTAAGTACCCAAATAATTGGGTGTAGGTAATAGACAAAAAAGTGAGGCTTTACGCTGAAACATTGAGTATGGGTTATTCTCAAAGAACTATTTGAGACTATAACATAAAATTCGTAATAATAAAAAGCATTAATATGTTATGTTGAAGAATAATAGTACCTTCGAGGACGTAACAAGAAACTTTTCGCCATTATTCGAGAACCGGAGCCTTCAGTACCAATTTCCAAATAAGGCAGAAATACAGTAACGACGCCCAAGAAGTCATCTCTTGTCTAGGTGATTATGACTAGTGAATTCTAAAAAACTTACAATTCTGTTCTCATCGTACAACTCGAAAACTAAACGATTTTCAGATGGATTGACCTAGGAAATATGACATTATATTGCAACCTACTCTAAATATAAATTCTTCATTCCAAATAGGATTTAAAGAACGCTTAACGGTTCTTGTTGGCACTGGTGTACAGACAGGTAATGTTGACCGCTGAGTTTTATATACACACAGCTTGCAGTATGGATCACTAACAGAGATTAACTAATAGTAAATTTTACCTTGCACCAAATATATCCTTTTTCATAAGATCCAGGGCACGAATAACGCGAACTCGTAGCAAACGCGTTTCGGAAGTACACTTATGAAGTCGTTCGGGTGAATCATTATGTGGGACTTACTAGTTGCAGCGGTAGCCCGTATACTTCCAAGTGTCTTTTTACAACAACAGACTTTGAGGATACGTTTAAAACCATGTAACATTTAGATAAGTAATTCCAAGTAACCACAAGAACTGAAAAACGAGCCCATGTGTTACAACTGAGTTCAACAGTACAATGCCAGATCCAATATCCAATATCGTTTTTACGAGCTAGTATAAACCAATTTGATTTCTTTGTGCTCGCCTCTTGATTGTGAGGTATAGTCTCCTGATCTTCGGTAAACGTCTGCGTAGCTCGTCCCGCCACTTGACTGCCGTAGCTTTGGTTGACTCCAAAAGGAGTAGTGCAGGGATTAATTATGTGTGGTTTGTAGTATGAGGTGTGTTAAGACTCTTACTACTGTGAATGGAGTTGATCCTTTTACCAGTTGGTCCTTCGGTATCGTCTTCAATAGAAAAGAGATAATAATAATAGATATAATTAATGAAGGTATTCAGACTAACAGACAGACAAAGAATAGGAAAACGTAACAACAGTCAGTCAACCGGTATATATATATACCAGTAATAATGATGATAATAATGATAGGCGTAGTTAAAGCTGTCAGGAGAGTAAGACTGAAGAGAATGTAAAGAAGTTTAATTGTCTACCTTTGAACGGTGTATGCGATTTTAAGGAGATAGGTCATTTTGACTCAGTCCTTGTGTCGCTGCGTGATTGTCCAGCCTTCGCTTAAAGGTGTCCACAGACGGTACTATAACTACATCTGCCGGTAAGGAATTCGAGGGACGGCAAACCCGCAGGGAAAAGAAGTGGGAGCGCACCCGGGTCCCTGCCCCCTGATGAGCTATCCTTCTAGAATTTCCGTGAGGGAGCCTATACCTACTCAGTGGCAGAACACCTTTGTTTGGGTGATTCTGATCATTTGTTATTTTGTAGGCAGTAATTAAATCCCCCCTAAGACGACGGTAACTAAGTGTGAATAGGCTTAATTTCTTCAGCCTTTCATCATATGGTTTATTTTGGAGACCAACCACTCCTTTTGTTGTCCGTCGTTGGACTCTTTCCAAGAGGTTGGCGTCTCTTTTAAGCAGTGGGGGTGCAATGATATTATGCACTTCAAGATGCGGTCTGACGTATGTTTTATACAAACTTAGAAAGAGCTCAGGAGTGAGTGCACCTAACTGTCTATATGTAAAGTGTATGACCGCATATGCCCTCGCTACATCCCCCGTATAATTTACGCTTGTATCAACTTTCTCCGTTAGAACTAGACCTAAGTCACGTTCCAACGTTGAGCAGGACAAGCTTTCATTGCAAAGGGTGTAACTTGCATTCTGCAGTCTACAGGTGCGTAACTTCACTACTTTGCACTTTTTCAGGTTGAAAGTCATGCCACTGGCTACCGCCCAGTCTTCCAGAAGCCTTAGATCTGCCTGCAGTATATCTGAGTCCTCCGGACACTTTATCGCCCTCCATATCTTCACGTCATCAGAGTATAGAAGAGTCGGGCAGCTTAGACGGCATGGTAGATCATTGATAAAAATCAAGAACATCAGTGGTCCCAGGATAGAACCCTGCGACACTCCTGATGACGAGCTGTGCCAAGATGATCGGACTCGATTGACCTTTGTGCAAAATTGCCTTTCAGTTAGGTAGTCCTTCAACCATGACAGAAGTGGTTTACCTAAACCTACCTGGCTTATTTTGTGTCGGAGAAGGTCATGGTGAACAGTGTCAAATACCTTCTCAAAGTTTAGAAAGATCACATGGACTGGAACATTCATATCCCAGCATGATGTCCAGTCGTCCCAAGCTGATAATAAGTAAGTGACGCAGGATCTTCCTTTCCTGAAACCGTGTTGGGCTTCATTGATTATTTTAGACCTATCCAGATATTCCCTGATGTGATCATCAATAATACTTTCCAGTACTTTTGATCCCACTGGGAGTAGAGCTACTGGTCTAAACTGGTGGGATTTTGCCTATCCCCACCCTTGAAGATCGGAGAAAGGATGCTTCTTTTCCATTACTTTGGCAGTTTCCCCGATTCCATGGAGTGTTGGAACAAGTCGCATAAAGGCCTACAGAGAGCTTCAGCGCACTGTTTCAGAACAGATGGCCTGATGTCATCACAACCTGGGGACTTCCCAGGTATGAGTCGCTGCAGATTTCTCAGTACCATTGCAGGGTTTATTTGGGGGCTGGCTATTTGGTCTTCCTCCTGTGAAATAGTCATGCCACCATTTTGGTTCGTAACGGTAATACCCACATTCCTGTTTAGCTGTTAGGCGAAGGCTAAACTAAATGTTTCAGCCATCTCCAGACTAGTGAGATATTGACCGTTTTGGCCTACTAAGGCGAACGCCCCCTGGTTGGTTGGTTTCCTTTCCGACATGAATCGATACAAATTCTTCGGGTTTGCCAGGAGTTTTTTAGCAAGGCTAGTCTGGAATAACCTCCTGTCCCTCCTGACTCTTGCATTGCACCGGTTCCTGAGTTCCAGGTATGCATCATGGTCGATCTGGCTTTTAGATACGCGCCACGTAAGCCAAGCCTTCCGCTTTGCTTGCAGAACACGCTGCGTGCCTCTCTTTAACCATGATGACTTTCTTTTGGGCTGTGTTGTGACTAAAGGGACGGTATCCGAGATTACTGTATGAATAATCTTTTTTACCACTTCCCAGTGTTCATCCACAGACAGCTCATCCCATGCTAGGGGCCAGTCTGCATCGGACAAGAGTCTCCGCATTTCAACATAGTCAGCCTTGCTATAACACAGAAATGGTTGCGTAGCGTCCCACTGCAAATGCTCACGGAGAACGAGGTCGAAACCTATGATTGCATGGTCACTACTTCCTAGAGGAGTCATGATCTGGACCTTTTCGACAAGTAGTTGGTCACTAGTTAGAATGTAGTCTAGTTTTGATGACTTTCCACTAGGGCCCCACCTAATGTCGTCTCCGACGTTCTCAGTCAGTCCCGTGTTCCGAATAGCTTGCAGTAGATTTCGGCCGAATTTTCCCTTAGCATACCCCGAGCCAAGGTTCAGTGATGGGGCATTGAAATCTCCAGCAATGGTGATTTGGTCATAGCCCAAGTCTCGTATCCCTGTGATGGTGCTGAGCAGTAGCTGATTGTGCTCTGCCCCACAGGTGGGAGATCGGTAGATGCCACCAAGTAGATGCTTGGTGTTGCCTACGGTGAAATGCCACCATATGGAGTCTGGGAGTTCAATAAGTGGTGGGTCCTTTGAGCGCCTATCAAAGTATATGGCAACTCCCCCTACTTCCTTATTATCCCTGTCTCTCCTGACCAAAACCATATCACCTATACTGATTTCATTATCGGTGATAGTGGGGGTTAGCCATGTTTCGGTGAGAATGATCATTTTCAGTTGTAGGTGTGCTTGGAGATTTCGGAGTTCACCTATTTTTCCTCTCAGCCCTCTCACATTGCTATATAGGCAGCTGACAGTGAGTCTTACAACCTCAGCGTGTTGTGGGGTAGTTGAAGTGAAGCTGTCTGCTGGTAGGGGACTTAATGTTGGGACTAGTTGGCCAGTTCCGATGGAACCGGTCCGTTGTGGTTTTTTCCCTTGGATTTAGGCAGAACACTTGGGTGGCACAGACTGTTATTCTCAGAACTGCATCGCTCTAGTGTCACTGAAGCTTGGGGACGTATTAAAGCCTCTGTTTGCTGCCTCCTTATGGTTCGAGGTCTGCTTTCGCAGCATCGAATGTGTCCTCCCAATTTCCCCTTGATCTCATACCACCGTTGAGGTGCTATGACTAACTGCTCTGGGGAGCTGAATGTGACACTAAGCAGCTTTGGGGAGCTAATCAGTGTGAGATGAGCGGGGCGAGGTAGTCGGTAAACGGAGATGGCTCCAGAAGCGCCAAGGGCCATTTGAGACGACAGCCATCTCCACTGCTGTACGTCATGCATGTGTTTTTCACAGGCAGTGCCCGTTTCCAGCTCCGGAACACCGTGTACCACCATAGAGGTAGAAGGCAAAAGTTCCGGTGACTCCCTCACCAGATACATGTGGCTTTACTCCAGGGTACGGATATCTGCTGGTTCCTTAGAATGTGCATTTTACAACAAGTCACAGATCTTAGATAAAGAACTCATATAACTGCTTCTGTAAAACTGGGGCTTTTGGTAAAAAAATTCAGATCCAGATTCGGATTATAAGGATAGAAGGCTCTTGTTGCTTATGTTAATCCTTCAGTATGTATCTGTGCAGAGATCTAGTTTCCCTTTGAAAGCGTTCACCTATGGAGCTGTTACTGCTAAATCAGTTAAGGAGTTCCTGCCCTTGACCACTCTGTGAGAGAACCTAAATTCCACATCTATTTCATTCGAACTCCGTTTGAGCACCTTCTTGCGGTGACCTCGTAAATATATACTAGAGGGAGAGAAAAGGTTGTAAAGATCAATCCCTAAATCACCCTTTAATATAAGGTGTGCTTAAATTAAGTCGCTTCCCCTCCTGCGGTATGAGAATGGGAAGAGATTTAGATGTTTCAGGCTCATATCATAGGGAAGGTGTGGGATAACACTAACTAATTTGGTTCCTACAATCTGTACTCTTTCCAGGGTACGTGCCACCTTTTTGAAGTATGGACTCACCGCTTGTATGCAGTATACTAGATGAGGTCTGAAACGTTGCATGGAGTACTTCGAACATTCTCTCGTCTAATTGTTTGAAAGCTCTTATAAGTGCACATAGCTTTTAAAAGCCTTAACTGGGGCTCTATTACAATTTAATGTTGTTTTAATGTCATGGCTTACAAAAATTCATAAGTTGTTTCGTCCCCTAACATCTGACAGTTCTGTGTCCCCAGGAAATACGACGTGTAAGACCTCTGACTTTGGTGTATTACTGCACTTTTTGGAATCAATCTACAGACTCCAGAGGTTAGCCTATTCAGCTAATTTATCGGGATCATTTTGTAGTACCAACATATCATCGTTACCATTTACGATTTTCCATATCATTATATTGTCGCCAAAGAGTAGGAAAGATGAGGTAAGAGTTTTCGGCAGTTCATTTACGTATAAAAGGAACAGCAGGAGGCCAAGTACTCCACTTAGTACTGCTTTTCACCCTGACAGTACACCATTGACCCTTACCTTCTGCCTTCTATCCATCAGGTGGTCGCCTAACCACTCATATAGGCTCCG